AATTATTATTTATTATTATTATTATTATTATTATTATTATTATTATTATTATTTTGATACTGGGAATTGAACTCATGACCTTGCACTTGCAAGGCAGGCAGCAGCACCACTGAGCTAAATCCCTGGTCCAAGATTCCAGTATATTAACAAACTCCAGATAATTCTTATTTTTATGTTAGGAATCTACCTTCAGATAGCTTCTGCATCTGATTAAGAGGTGCCATTTTTGGAAGGGTTATCAGGCAACACCAAATAATTCTTCAATGAATCCGTTACAGAGAAAAAGTGACAATGTTTGAGTTGTGTGTGCTACTTCCCAGAGTATAAGAACAAAAGAAATAATATGCTGTTTGGCCAAAGAAATTTTAGAGGCAAAATTGGAAATACAGCAGAGCTACTTCATTTATGTTGATATGCTTACTTAATATATAGATTAATGCTTAATGCTTACTTAATATATAGATTTTTTTTTCAATGTATTTTTCTTTATAGACATGAAGTAACATGAAATTAACTGAGCCCATTTGATTCACTGGAAGATGTTTTTATTGTCTTAATGCTTTAACTTGCAATGCTATAGTCTGTTTCTTTAGTATTTCTCTTAAATGTCTTGGGCTTTTCACAGCTTTGCTTGTGATATAGTTACATATTTTCATTAATGTGAGCCAATTTTACTTCTTGTAACATCACTGGGAGTAGAATATAATGGTTTTATATGAAGAACTATTTATTTATTTTACTGGGGGGAGATAAGTAGCTAGTGCTTTTATTTGGTAACATGCCCTATGAAAGTCAAAAATATAAATGTTATCTTAATGATTCCTCCCCCCATTTAACGAGTCATTCAAAGCCCCCATTGCACTTTAAGAAGTTACAAAAGGAAGAAGGCTATAGATTCATTCAAGTTTCTCTATTACTACTGAGAATTCAGTCAATATCCAAGTCCTACTGAATCTTCTCCCATATTTCAGACAGGGATTATAAAGGAAGAGAGATAAAGGTTACTGTTCTGCCACTCTACTTTCGATTTCACTTTTTAGTCTCTTAAGGGACATTCCCACGGGTCTTAAGATTTCTAATGGAGACTCACCCTCTTGAATCTCATTCTTGATTTGCCAGTAGCTTTGCATCACTATTTCAAATGTATACCTTTCTTTGAACACTTCAGGTGTCCCTGTGTCTCCATTGAAAGAGGCCTCAGTCTGAGTCTTTCTTCCTCTCCTCTTACACTATACAGTATCTAAACAAGTAAAGCCACAAGCGTAGGCTGCAAGGACTACTTTGGAAGAAAAATTCCCCTACCGGTTCTAGTATGTTTACACATGTGTGCTTCTGTGTGTAGGTGGAAGGGGGATGATAGTCTATGTGATTATGGATAATACAACATGTTTCCTATTCATTATCTCTCTAGTAGGAACTCTGGGCCATTGGTTCCTTTGCTGATTAACCCATATACTGGGTGTGTACACACAGATATACATTCATTTAGATTATATTGTACTAAATCTATATTAAGAATAGAGCTTGTGCTTAGAAATGAAAAAAAAAGAAAAATTCAAAATAAAAAGAATAAAAACAATATTAGTAGTTCAGTGTCAGGAGCCATTCTACATAATTTTGGGAAAAAATCATTTCACAATTAAATTATGACTAGAATTAATCAACAAAGGGAGATGACTTCAACTGTGAAAATAAAATATTCCATATGAGGTGTAGGAATTTTACCTTAAAAAAGAAAAATACTCAGTTTAATGAGGTCTTAGGTCTTAGTTTAGGAGTTTCACCTGATTTCCCGGAAGAGCGTTCTTGTTATTTTAGTACATGTAGTGACTGGGGGATGGCAGGGTATCATGGCAGTAAATAGCCTTTTGTGAGAATATGAGAGAAAAGTATCTCTTTTAGCAGTATTGACGTTATATCCAACGTGCTGTTGAAATTAGTTGTTTTTAGCCCTATTCCAACTATAGCAGATGAGGCAGTAAGCAGTCCTTCATCAACACAGAAGTGTTCTCAGCAGGAGTGAGAGTGAAAATATTCTACTTTCTAGGAGAGTAACATAGAATTTGAGGAGTTTGGATTGAGGGTAGTTTGAAAAATCTTCCTACGGGAGTCTGTTATATCCCCCCTTGAGAAAATTACAGTTGATCGTTGATTGTTTTAAAACAATTGCACTTGTTAGTACTTATCTGTAGTGAACATTTACTTAACTGTAGTGGACATTTATCAAGTCTTGCTCTGGCTATGAACTTTTGAACAGTATATAGCCCTAATGTGTCTATTCTCCATTGCCAGTTGTCCAGTTCTTTGGAGTATGTGGAGAGGGAGTTGTCTCAAAGCTTTGCAGTGGCTGAGGGATTTTATTAAAGAGCTGACATGAGCATGTTAGAGAGGTTATAGCTTGGATGTCTGCTACAGACTTACCCACTTTCAAAAGGGAATGACCAAATTGTGGCCCTGTAAAAGATAACATCACAGTGTTTCTTTAGCATAGCTGGTCATACTCTGTGTCAGGCGACTCTTCCATCTTAGCCACAGCTGAAGAACTAGGAAAGAGTACCTGGCTAGGAGTGGTCAATCCATACGCTGCTAGTGTTTCATGAGATAGACTCATTAGAGAATGATGACAGAATTAGATTCTTCCCCATGGGGCATTTGATTATGAGATATATGGAGAAAGCTGGCACTGAGCATGGGAGCAGGAGTGGAAAGACAGGCAGAGAAACAAAGAGCTGTAGTTGTGCAATTTGAATTATTTCTGTGTTCTGAAGACATTTCATGAGAAGTTGAAGCAGTTGGCTTTACTAACCAGAGCTACATACATGCATCTCTTCCCAGCTCTGTCTTTAGAGACATTAGATTGCTAAGAATATTCATACCACATCAATTGGTTAATGCTATGAATCAAGTCTATTTCCCCTACACTCTTGGGTCCAGACTGGCTGTTAAATGTTTACGAGCACACCAGTGACGTGTGGGAAATATGGTATAAGAAGCAGGGGAAACAAGTGCTCTGTTGGGTCCTTCTTAAAATAGTGTTTAAAATAATATGTTAAAATGTTTGTTACTAATGTTCTAATAAAAATACATTAGAGAGATTATTGTGAAATATATGATTAAAATATTAGTGATTAAACTTCAAAACTTGTAAGACTGTGGTCTGAAGGCAGCACTTTTCCTGTTCCTCCAATTGTCAAAGGTACAGATCCCATCCATCCCCCAGGCCCAAAAAGTATGATCTGACAAGAATTAAGCCTTTGGTTTTATTGCCACACATATTTTTTACCTCAGTACTTGAAGTAACCTACGTGCATACCAGTTACTTAAAAACCCCAAGAGTTCAAGGAATGCACTTTTTAAATACCCCTCCTTGTTTAAAAAAATGTGGAGAAAATAGAGCAGATTACTATGGTAAAAAGTACATTTGTACTTTGGAATGAAGTTTGAATTCCAATACTTTCTGGTTCCTTATTGTTTACCTGTGCCTCAGTTCTTAGCTGTAAATAGGGATAAAAATAATGAACTCAGATAGTTGTCAGCATTTAAATGAGACCTGGGTGTGAAATATTTAGCCCAGTGTTTATCACTTATCATGTACTCATTAATTTTAGCTCTTTCCTCAGCTGCTTAACACAGTTAAATCAAGCCTTTAGAGTAGCTGTTGAACAAGGTGTGGTGGAGCATACCTGTAATCCCAGCACCCAGGAGACTGACAGTGGAAAAGGCAAGCTCAAGTCCACCCTGTCTCAGATGTAGGTCAGTATAAAGACCTTAAAAAAAAAAAAAAAAAAAAAAAAAGCAGAAGAT